TTACGCCTCTCCCGCGCCTTCGACCGGAGCACCTTCGTCGGCAGGGGGGACTTTGCATGCGTGTGTTGTAAGGGACATGTCAAGTGAGTACCAGAGTGAGCTTTCGATGTGATCATCCCGCCCCTTGGTAGCGAGAGAGTGCAGATCGGTGATGGCAGGACGATGCGAGTGCTTAGAATCGGATGTTAAAACGTGAGGTTTCATCTTGAAGGTAGAGACTTTTGCGTGAAGCTTGCCCAAGTACGTCATGTAGAAGGAATGTGTTTCAATCTTTTCTCCCTCCACCAAGCACAGGGATTGCAACGATTGCCTTGGACGACGTAGGCACCCATCTTTTCCATGGCCAATTGATCTTCCCCGTGGCGAGAGGGGTTCGCCGCTTTGGGCCACACGCTTGCCGCCCAACAATGAAACGCCCACCGCTGTGCCTGTGATGCTTTTTTCCCCGGTGCCCCCCCCCCGCGCTGCTGGTGTACGTTTACATGCGAGTGATGGTAGAGTGATGTCAGAAACCCCACCGGTGTTTTACCCCCCTCCGGATGTAGCATACGTTCCTTCCGCAGTGTCAGGTGTCCCGCCCGCTGAAAGCAGCATAGTGCCTCCGGTGAGGTCTGTTAGATATACTCGTAGCATAGTAATGTGGTTGAGTATGGGACATGGATCTACGGAGATTGCAGTTGGTAGATCGCGGAGGAACAGGGAGTTTCTGCTTGGTTTCTTCGGAGATTCGATGAGTGATCTGAATTGCGTGACGGATAGGTGTGGTGACGCACTCTTCGGCTGCTCGGCCTCGAGTGGTCTCTGCCCTTCCCTCTTTCCTCTAAACAAGACTTTCCCATCTCGGCCCTCACTGGCCGAGCTGCCTTTCTCCACAAACCTACAAGCTTCGGCCTACCCGGTTTATCCAACAAGGTCTGTACCTCAATCCGCTCCCAGGAGTTTTGTTCAACCCACCGTGTCGAATTTTCCGCCCGCTGCCGCCGGCGTCGTACCTTCCACGGGGTATGGTTTCCCGCCCGCTGCAAACAGCGTAGTGCCCTCTACTGTGCCCGGTTTCCCGCCCGCTGCAAACAGCGTAGTGCCATCTACTATGCCCGGTTTCCCGCCCGCTGCAAACAGCGTAGTACCCTTTACTGTGCCCGGTTTCCCGCCCGCTGCAAACAGCGTAGTGTCATCAATTGTGTACGGTCTCCCGCCCGCTGCGAGCAGCGTCGTTCCTCC